ATGATGGTTGCTGGTATTAGAGGATTCGGATTATTATTGGAGGATTAATTTTATTAGATTATTTATTGGAGGATTTTATTCCCTCGGTTGTGGGCTTGGCCCTAATCAACCCATGTCTCGGAGTCGACGGGTATCACAACTTATCTCCAAAATGGAATAACAGCAAGTTTTTATGGGTTTTTAATAAACAAGGTTCATGGCAAGCTATAGAAGTAAGCAAAGTGGTTCAAAGTCTAAGAGTGAGCTCAACCTGGGAAGGACATTGACCTGGGAAGCTAGGCAAAAAGATGAAAGGCACCTTAGAAGAACAAAACTGGCCCCTGGACGCACCCTCTAAGACTATTCTGGGCATTCGGACGCCATGTGTATTTGTAGCCTAGCAATTATAATTTCAAGAAAAGTAAAATTCTAGTAGCCAAGCAATTTTACGTCCAAACACTCAGCTCTGCATTCGGACGCCACATGCCAAATACCTGCAGACAAGCTCCCCAGTGCGCGCAGGGCACACGACTTGACAAGCTACATTTGACACCAACCTGCGAATTAATGTGGATTTTGAATTTTTAGTTATTTTTCTTTCTCTTCTCCAACTTCAAGCACGAGTTTTGGGGGGATTTTTGACTGATTCTGGCGGAAAAGGCTATGTACACCTCTCTATATTGTATTACACATCATCTATCATATCATATTCAAATTTTTTATACTTTTTGGAGAGAGAAAGTGAGGATAATTAGGGTTCTTAAGTGTTCTTGAGAGGGGTTGCTGTGGAGCTGAAGATGAAGATTTCCTATTCGATCCTTAGAGCTATCACCACTACCAGGATGAGCAAAATCCCCTTCTAGGGGTTTAAGGTAGCCTTGACCAATTAAGCATGTAATTCTTTGTATTTTAATTTGGGGAAATAACTTGTTGTAACATATTTTATGAATAAGATGAAAATTATATTAAGATTGGTGTCTTTCATATTAAATTGATGTATGATCTATATTGAATTCATATATATGAGTATGATTGCTATGCAATTCTTGTCTTAGAACTATGTTGACATACTTGTACTTTTGATATTCTTAAAGTGACATTAAGGATAGATTTCATGAAATGCTTTTATGGGCATGTTATATAGGATTTTAGATAAATTATGCCAAAGGAAGATAGACCATGCTACACCCCTAGATTAAAGTAGTTAGGTAGATAGTTTACGCCAACCAAAGATAGTTTATGCTAGATGATCTATTCTCATGTGCTAAACTTACAAATTCAAGACCTTGATAGGCCATGCCTAGGGAAGATGGCTCATACCACAACGTTGTTTAGGTGGATAAGCCATGTCAATTGCAGATGGGTTATGCTTAGTCTTGATTTGTATGACTTTCTGAAAAATTGTTGTAGTCATTGTATGCTTCTATACACTATTGTTACATATAATTGATTTTGCCCAAGTTAAGTATATACTGTAGCATGTTTATGAGATTTCAGTGAACTCAATTCCTTAGTCTCCCCATTTGTTAATTCAATCTTTGAATTTGATTTAATTCTGTTTTAATTATATGCTAGTGACAAACAACCAAACCATCTCATGACATTTTACAAACTTGAAATTAATCTTTGAAATTTGATCGCCATAAGCTAGCAATCTTCGTGGATCGATACCCTTACTCAACCATTTTCTATGTGAATTTGTGATTCAGTTAAGGTTTAAAGTTGAGCACGCATCACCATGCATGATTTCTATTGGATACAATTGCTCTTAGTTTGATAGATTATGCTTAGTTTTTATGGGTTGTGTTACACCTTAGAGTAATTGTAGTTAGGTAGAGAATTCATACTTGAGTTTGATAGTTCATACTTATTCATTGCAATTTGTATTATCTTCTTGATTATTGATGTGTTCTTGTAGCCACATTTTTATTACAATGTGTTTTCCCCATTAATTGAAGGCATTTGGTATAGTCGCATGAGTTTAGTGGTATAATCCATGCCCTAAGCCTCTCTCTTTATCACCTTAAACCAAGTTTACTTTAGCTTTATTTCATATGTATGCTCTAATTAGTAAAATCACCATTAGTCTAATCAAACCAATCACCATATTTTCTATCTCATGCTCATTAATGTTAGTTAAATTCCAAGCCAATAATCCCTGTGGACGATCCCTTCTCACTATACTAACGTATAAGTGTTTAGTGGTTTTATAAATATAAAAGTTGATGCCCCATTTGCCACATATAAACACCTATTTTGAGTATACCTCCGGGTAGCATCAAATCCCTACCTCAAGGATGGCAAGTAAACAAGCCCTTATGTAAGCCCTAAATTCAAAATTTCCCTAAGCCCTAGCATTAATGGTCTCAAATGAAAGCCTTCCCCAAGCTCTTCAACTTCTCCTTCATGGCTTTCATCAAAATCTCATTCCAACCTCTCCAAAATCAAGCTTGAAGCATTATAATATACAAATTATGTAGATATAGAGAGAGAAAGAGAAGATATAGAGAGGGAAATGGCTTGGCCAAAATGGGGAGAGGAAAAAGGGGTTGGTTTGGTTTTACAAATGACCTCATGGTCCTAAGGGTGCCACTTGTCAACTTCTTAATGATCCTGGCTTTTTGCTAAGTTACTCATTTGCCCTCACTTAACCAATGCAATGCCATCCATATTCCCAAAATATCTACCTCAATGTATAGATATAGATGTATGTATATATGTGTGAAAAAACCACAATGCCCCTTAACGCAATTGACAAAACTGTGAGAAGTTCCCGAGCCTGGAATTTGTCCCAACTTCCAAAAAAATTCTAAAAATGATCATGTCACTTTTAAATGACTTGAAATAAATAAAAATATATTTCTAAAACCATCGGCTTAAAAAATGACCAAAACGGCCCTTCGGGCTTGCGTGGCACTCAAAATGAGGCATGAAAAATAAATAAATTAAAAATTAAAAAAATTCAGAAAAATCTGGGACATTACAACCATCCTCGAGTTCAATCATTCCATTTCAAACCATCCATATTCAATTAAATTGAACTAATAAGTTCAAGTTATACATATAACTCATAAGGAAAGAGAGCAACATGAAAGATGAAGTAAGTAACCGTATGTAGTACGGGTGCCTTGGGGTGCTTAACACCTTTCCCAAGTGTAAGCAAACCCTCGAATCAATTTCTCTGGTTCACACAAATCAGTCTAGAATCGAACAATAGGGTCCATATTCAAATTTAGCCGAAAGTCCTAAACATTTTCATAATCCGGTGACCTAACACACCAAAACTCAATGTTAGGTGTCGACTCCAAAATATAGACATTGGCCACTCCGTAGTATAAAAAATAAAGTTCATGTCGTAGCCACTCCGTCGTATTAAGTTCACGATTCTTTCTAAGCTTCAACGACTAACCTCCATATGGAGATCAATTGCATTCAAAAGCCTAGGAATCCTGACATCGATCTTGCAGATGGGGCTTTGGTAATGAGGGCTTACTTGGCTTGTTGAGACCTCCTGACTTCTTCAAGACCTTCTAGCAACCATACTCTTGAGCATTGTCGTATGTACAGAGTTACTACCATGCGATTGATTGCTATCCTATAATCTGCTGTTCTGCCCTAGTATAATGGATGAGGGATCCTAATGTTGATACCCTTCTTATGGGTTCTACTATAGTAAGGAACCTACTGCTTTGACACCATAATACTTTACGATCTTGATCAGTTGGGACACTGGGTTGTGTTTCAGACGATTCCCCTTGATCATAGACTTGCATCGATTGGCTGCCCTGACCTTTAGACCAGATCGCGTTTTAGTCACAATTTCTTGAGGAAACTAGTATACATTACCCACTGACTACACCAAATGTTGATGCAAAATTCAACACAGTCCAGAGCGAGACGCTTATCTTGCAAGAGAATAAAAGTGACGATTGGTATGGTGCTGGCCGGTGAACTCTGACGGTCAAGTTAGTACTCGATGATAAGTGAGAGAAGGAAGGATGTAAAAAATTGTGCCATACCTTAATGAGTTGACCGACCCCTCCTTTAATAAGGGGTCGTAGTAGTATCCTCGTAGGGAATTAGTCCCCTTGAAATCTCCATTAAGGACTAGAAGAGTTACCGAGGATAGGTAGCCGTACTTGTAATCTATTTGATCCATTGAGCACTCGCATTGAATGGACTTCTTAACCATCCAATATTCTTTATTATAACCAAATTGAGCCATAAGATATTCTTTTCCACTCAGTTAGGTGGAGTGAACGAAACTAAATAAATTATGTAGAAGAATAAATGCATGTACAACTTGGATTAAGTGCAATTTTTTAGGTTTTTATTTTTTATTTTATTTTTTTTGTCATGGCAAGAATGTTAAGAATTAGACGAAAGAATAGGTGAGATGTAAGGTTCAAACAAAATCTCCTTAGATAGGAAGAGCAACCAACCACTAAGAGACTTGCAATTAGATGGTGTGAAAGAAACTAAAATAAATTAAGGAGAAGGATGGTTTAAGTACAACTTTTTTAACTTTGTATGATAATTAAATTATATTTTATTATTATATTACTGGTAGATATACCGTAAAGTGTTCAAAAAATTTTAGAACACCCCACCCCACCCAAAATCAATCACAGTACCAATTTATTTATTCACTTCCCTTCCATATTTCCGTTACAGAACCAATTAACTGCCACCTCTCACACTCTCGCGTGTATAATTTCCCAGCCTTGCAATTTGCAAACCCCAGACCACTCCTTCACAACCACACACTCCACTGGGTTAAATAAAATAAAATTTTAGAACACCCCACCCCACCCCACCCCACCCAAAATCAATCACAGTACCAATTTATTTATTCACTTCCCTTCCATATTTCCGTTACAGAACCAATTAACTGCCACCTCTCACTCTCTCGCGTGTATAATTTCCCAGCCTTGCAATTTGCAAACCCCAGACCACTCCTTCACAACCACACACTCCACTGGGTTAAATAAAATACATAAACATCACTTCAATTTCTTTTCTTTTTTTTGATAAGTAGCATCACTTCAATTTCTCAACCACACCACTACAAATATATAAATATAATATATAAATATATATCAAAAAGTTCTCCAGAACCGGCGGAATTGCCCAATCCTATATTTCCTTGAAGTCAGTATATATATATATGTTAGATATGTATAGATATATGAATTCTGTTCCATTTTGTCTCTGTGACATGTGAATTTTTTTCTCAGACATGTCTTCATGCCAAACCTCTTCGATGTTTGGTCGCAGAAACCCTTTACTCTTCCGCAAAAACCCATATTTCCTTTACAAACCCAATCAAAATCTCGGCAACTCAATGAAATCTCGATGCCTGCTCGACCAAATGTTGCCAAAATTCGTTGTTTCGTCATCACTGAGCTCGGTTCTTACCTCCGGCAACATGATTGCGGTTGCAGCGGCAGCCGGGTCGGGTTCGGTTCACGGGGCGGTGACGTCTGCCATAACGCAGGTGGCGGTGACGGCGGTGGCCATTGCCTCGGGGGCTTGTCTCTCTACTAAGGTTGATTTCTTGTGGCCTAAAGAGGAGGAGCAACCTGGTCAGTTGATACTATATATATTATATGTCTGTATGTATGTTTGTTGAAGGAAAAAAAAAAGTATTGGAAGCAATTTTATGGAATTACATGTAATTGTACTCTGTTTTCTAGTTAGATGGTTGATAGTTTAGAATTCTAGGTTATGTTATTGTTTATGAACATATGGCCAGTTTGCAAATGTTCCCCCAAAAAACACAAAAAACTTGTTTTCTCATATAAGCAAAAGAACCTGAAATGTTCGAATTGAGTCTATACACAATATAATCAAGACATGAAAAGGAAAAATAAAAGGAAATGGGAATGCTGTATGGAGATTTAAGTTTGAATAATGATAAGTTGTTTGAAAGGATGACATCATTAAATATGATGTCATCATAACGGCATCCCTTATTGACATAAATTTAGTCGGATGTGTCCGACTCTTGGATATTGTATCATTAAGTTTTAAATGACAATAGAGTAAAGAAGTGAGATGCTACCAAATGGGGAATTCAAGTTTGTATTGTTGAGAGTGGGAGCCTTCAAAACTATGTTAGAACAATGGTCTTAACTTCTGAACTATTTGCTTGTAAATTTTGTACCTGTTATATGCAGCTATTTAGTCCATATTAACAACAGTATCTAATATGGTGCAGGCTCTCTTATACTGGATGGAGTAGATGTAACCGGGTATCCCATATTTTATGATGCGCAGGTTTACCCTCTATACATGCCTCATTGACTTAATATAGTCATCTGCTGCCACTACTAAGACACTGAATCTTTGAAGGCAGGTACAGAAGGCAATTGCATTTGCAAGGAAGGCTCATCATGGCCAGTTACGGAAAACAGGAGACCCTTATCTAACGCACTGTATCCATACAGGAAAGATTTTAGCAGTGTTAGTTCCATCAAGTGGGAAAGGAGTACGTAATCCTCTTTCCGTTTCTTTATGGTTTAAGTTTGTGGCATCTTGTACAACTTTGTCAGTCATTAATTGTTTTAACAGTCATTGTTTCCATTATTTATTTATTATTATTATTATTATTTTTCATTTAATCTGACGTTAAATGCTATATATATTATGACAAACAATTTTTTTGTGATAATTGTTTGTGAGTTTCACAATGCGAAAAGGTTGGGGAATATAGTATGGAAAAACAACCTAGAGGGGCTGAATAGGTTCAACTACATGTTTGCTCGATTTTTTTGTTAATTTAAATTTACCGAAATAAACTAAAATTATGCACCGACAAGATTAATATAAATTGCAAGTAAAGTAAAGAGTGAGTTTAGAGTGACACCGGATTTTTAGTGAGGAAACCCTAACTGGTAGAAGAGACCAATCATTTGGGAAAAACTCGTGGACTACGTTGTCCAGAGCAAAAAGATCCACTTTGTATGAAGCAAAGTACAGTTGAATCCGACTCAGGATCACACCCTATCACTCTACCAAAAACCAACTGCTGACGATCCCTAACTTTGCGACTCCCCCGTCCAATAACTCTCAACCTCTTGATTTCGGTAGAAAGATTGGTAGATCATCCAACACTCCACGAGCATCTTGATCCCTTCAAAGTGTGTCTTCTTCTCATTTTCTTCAAAAATTGATTTTCTGAAGTTTGCAAGAAGTTCTACTTTACGACCGGATTGTTAAAGGCTCAAGGCGTAGTAAGGCGCTAAGGCCTCCAGAGGCACGAGGCGCAAGGCGAGGCGCGCGTCGGACTGAAATGAGGTGCAAGTTGAGAAAAAAATAAAAAAATGGCACAAGAGAAAATAACAAGCATTTTAATAGTTAACATAGTAGACATTTTCATTTTTCATAGTAAAAACAAAAAAAGAAAAAAAAAAGAAAAGAAAAAATAACATGCATTGTACTAATTAGTATGGAATAATTATTAAAGCAGTAAGTAGTAGAGCACAAAGCAGGGGGAAAAAAAAATAAAGAATAAGAAGCAAGAGAGAGAGAGAAATATAAGTGAGAAGAGGAGGAGGAAAAGGACAGAAGAAGAAGAAGAGATGGAGAGAGAAGAGAAAAGCAGCAGTAGAAGAAGAACAAAGAAAAAAAGTGGTAGGGTCCACCACTTAACATATGCAGCAGAAGAGAAAGAAGAAGCAGCGTGTTTGAGCCTATTCTTTTGTCTTTATATAACTTATAATAAGTGGTAGGGTCCACCACTTAACATATGCAGCAGAGAAGAATAAAGAAGAAGCATTCTTTTGTTTGCTTGACCTTTTTGGCTTTATATAACTTATAATAAGTGGTAGGGTCCACCACTTAACATCTGCATACCAATTATATGAAAAGTCAAACCAACAATGAAAAGTCACAACTCTTTAAATAACATAAAAACAAAGCCCTTCAAACAGGCGCGCCCCACATGCGCCTTGGGCCTATCGCCTTTAGCAAATAGGCGTGCACCTATGTAGAGAGCCTCGCCTGGGTGCATGTAAGGCACAAAGCTGCGCCTTGATGGGCCCGGCGCCCGAGGCGAGCGACCGGAACACCTTTGACAACTATGCAACCGGTAGATATAAAATCTTCAATCACGCCAATCCCGATTGAACGATGAACAAACAACCTAAAACACTCTGTGTATAGTTGTGTGCTCTCAAAAACAGAAAAATAATAAACTCTCAAAAACTCACACAAAAAAGCTTTCTAGGGTTATGAAAATTTTAATGCAAAAGGCGTATATTAATGTGTGTGAATATGAGTTTATATAGACAAGTAGATAGTCCTAATTGGGTAAGAAAACACACCAAATTTCGTGCTGGAATATCCCTACAAGTCAGACTCAAAAGGTAATAGAAGTTGGTAAAAACATGAACTTTCCTTTTTGGTTCAGGAGAATGCAACCGGTTTAAGCTTACATTAGAACCGGTTGGATTTTTCATGAGACAGGATTTTGCACAGAAAAAGCAACCGGTTCAAGAGTGAAGTCCAACTGGTTGGATTGCTGAAAAACCCTAAAAATGAAAATCAAACTTGTAACCCTAATCTAAGTGATCCACACACACACACCATGACTATTTGTTGTTCATTGTTGAAACAAGAATGTCGTGAGTAGCTTCACTTGAAATTTCCGCTTCCGTAACCGAGACTTGATGATAAACAAATTTTACAACTCGATCCGGACTTGTTTTGATCACCAAAATATGCCAATAATAATTTTACATCTCACATTGTTCGCCATTGTTCTTGCAGTGCATATCAGTCATTGTGTTCCTAATGGGATTCACTGTTTACCAATTAGAATTATCATTAATGATCTCAAAATTTGAATTGGTACTATCTAAAAGTTTCACCAATGCTTTAAGTAGTCGTTGATATGTATGTTGACCAATTGATTCAGTAACTTAAAGAAATTTATTATGTAGTGTGAAAGTTGTTACATTGGAGATATAATGTATATAATATTATCAAAATATATCAAGGATACTAAAATAACTACTAATACGTTTGCAGATCAGCAGCTAACTTTGAGAACTGCTGATGCATTGTGAATAAATTACATTTGAGATAAACCTATAATTTTTATAAAAATATGACAGATACAACGAAAATAGGTCAATAGATAATTAAATTGCTGTCTATAGAAGGTTATAATTATATATATGTATTCACATATTCTTTATGTCAAGTAAGAGTGTAAAACAATTTGAACTTTGCCTAACATTTTGCAGCATCAGGGTTGTTTGACTCTAGCATGTCTATCACAATGTGTCCGCTAAAACAATTTGCTGCATACAACATTACTTAAAACTCATTTCTGTGCCCACTGGTTTCTTTGCTAAAATCACAATATTTTGATGTAGGCTGTCGATACAGTAGTGGCTGGGATTCTCCATGATGTGGTTGATGATACGTGTGAAAGTCTACACAGCATAGAGAGAGAGTTTGGTGATGATGTAGCAAAGTTGGTAGCTGGTGTTTCCAGGTTAAGTTATATCAATCAGGTATGGTAAATTGGTAATATTGATATTCAGAGTCACACTGAATTAGAACTTTTGATATGGCAGTCCTAATGCATTACAAATCCAATTTTCATTTATGTATTACTGGAGTAATTAGTTGGGAATATGGAGTTAAACCTTTGTACTGGGTAGTTAGTGATTTTTATTTTATTTTATTTATTTTATAAGTTTAAAACTGTTGGTTATGAAGGTTTATAATGTTGTCCAACGGATGGCAGATGTCAGAGAAATACACGGATGCTGTTTAAATTAGAATGCTGTAGACTTGAGAACTTTACCCTCTTCAACTCTTTCTATTATACTGCTGCCTCAATTACATTATTCCACCCTCTGTAGGTAGTATTGGGATGATGTCTGTGCATTCTGATGTTTAATTCTGATATAGAGGTAACTGCATGCTTCTTGTTCTTAAAGATCCATGCCCTTATTTTGGATCCACTGAGATTGTAGTATTTCCCTAGCCTCCCCACCGCCACCCCACTTCCATCCCCTTGCCTGTAAATTTTTTCTCTTCTTAATGTTGTTTTCAACTGATAATTTGTTTTGCAGTTGTTACGGAGACACCGCAGGTTAAATGTGAATCAAGCTGCCCTTGGTCATGAAGAGGTATAAGACTTAAATTCTACATCATGTTAACCATCAGTCATATTGTGAATGGTAGAAATCAAAAAGTATAGTTGGTATACTTTAATCACAAATGATACAAAGCAAATTTTATACAATGATGTATGATTTATTATATATGTAAACCAGATGATTTAAATAAAAAATTTCTTTTGTAATATAACTATTTTATGGCCTATATTACTAATCTTTATAGAATATTACGTTGAGATTTGAGGGTAGTGATTGAATGTATGTCGGTCACTTTGTTACAGTGCTTTCAGTTTTGTATTCCTACGTGGATTTAAGCCTTAGGCAACACTATTGTCTGCTAAGATGATTTGAAGTTGTTTTCCTCCTTAAGCTACAACCCTATGGTGATGTTGTTGAGGAGAATGATGCTCGCATATAACCCTATTTATTATAATTCAATACTGCATGCCATGTTCATCTTTATACTGATGCATATATAAACAAAACTGATTTTCATTTGATATTCCAACCCATAAAGCTGATTTCTATGACATTGCATACGACCCATAATACTCATTATATTCCTTAGGATCCATAATTTAGATTTGGTTTTCGTGACTCTGCTCTCCCTTGGTACAAGGAATGATGACTCAATTGCTTGCTAAAATTAATTCTATTGCATATTATATATTATTCATGTTGTTAAAACGAGGATGTTAAGGCGGATGGTAGGAGTGACTAGAAGAGATAGGGTTACAAAAGTGATTTGGTAAAATTAGTGTACTCAATTTGAGAGCCTAACTATCATTATATACAAGTGGAAAATTACAAATATGGAAAGAGAATAAAAATCCAATCGAGAATAAAAATCAAATCCCTAAACAAAAGCCTAAACATAAGCTTATAATGAACACCCAATAAATTTGCCACAATCATCGAGTCAATCTATAGATATGATTTCCAACGCTCCCTCTTAAGCTGGGGCAAATATGTTGATGAAGCCCAGCTTGACTATGGAAGACTGAAGAAGAGAAGGCCCAACAGACTTTGTGAACACATCTGCAATCTGTTCTGAAGAAGGAACAAAAATAGAATTAATGATACCTAATCGAACCTTCTCTCGAATGAAGTGAATGTCTACCTCAATATGTTTCGACCTTTCATGTAACACAAAATCAGAACCAAGCATAATGGTTGATTTATTGTCACAAAACAACCTTGAAGAACCTTTCTCTGCAAGACCCAACTCTCCCAAAATTGATTGAAGGCAAAGGAGCTCACAAGTACCTTGAGTTATAGCTCAGTACTCAGCTTCAGTAAAAGATCTAGAGGCAAAAACTTGCTTCTCACTGTTCCATGATATGAGATGATTACCATAGAAAGTACAGAAACCAGAGGTAGACTGTCTATTTGTCTTACATCCAGCATAGTGTGCATCAGTAAAGCATGAGAGTCCGGACTGATTTCCTAAGGCATAGAATAGACTAAGGCAAGGGCACGACTTAAGATACCTTAAAATATGGTAGACTACATCCATATGAGCTGAGCAAGGGGCATGTATGAATTGACTAACCACACTAACAGCAAAGGTCAAATCGAGCCTTATGTTAGTCAAGTAGATAAGACGACCTACCAAACGTTGATACACGGATGGATCTGGAAGTAAATCCCCTGACTCAATAGAGAGTTTGAGATTAGGGTCCATAGGAGTGGAAGCGAGTCGACACCCAAGCATGCCAGTATCTTGAAGAAGATTCAAAATATATTTCCTTTAAGATAAAGAAATTCCACGTCGGGATCTAGCAACCTCAATTCCAAGAAAATATTGAAGGGGACCTAAGTCCTTCACATCAAAGGACTTTTGAAGATGAAGTTTTGCCTGAGCAATCCCTGAAGCATTATTGCCTGTGATAATGATATCATCCACATATACTAATAACATGATGCAGCGACCATCATAGTGACGTCGAATAAAACAAGTATGGTCTGAGTGGCAACGCACAAAGCCCATGGATAGAACATCATCACTGAAACGACTAAACCATGCTCTAGGAGATTGCTTCAGACTTTAAAGAGACTTCTGCAACCGACATACTTTCCCAGCCTACTCCCCCTAAGCCCGAAATCCAGGGGGGTGGATCTATATATATAGTCTTAAGTAAGTCTCCATTAAGAAATGCGTTCTTGACATCTAACTGATGTAGAGGTCAAGAATGGGCAATAGCCAAGGAGACGAGCAGTCGCACAAACGTCAACTTTGCCACAAGAGTAAAGGTAGCCCCAAAGTCTTTACCCGGAATCCGAGTGAAGCCTTTCGCCACCAACCGAGCCTTATACTGATCAATAGAACCATTAGCTAAGTACTTCACATTAAAGACCCATTTGCAGCCAACAGTTTTCTCCTCAGCAGGTAAAGCAACAAGTTCCCATGTATTATTACGGTCTAAAGCATCCATTTCTGCTATCATAGCAGACACCGAATTGGGATCCTGGAGGGCCTCTGGCACTGATCGAGGAATAGAAACGGACCCAATCTTGCCCAGGAAGGATATATATGCACCTGAAAGACCATCATAGGAGACATACTGGGAAATATGGTGGTTAGTGCTACTAGAGAAACCATACCAATTAGGAGGGTGACGAACACGGGTAGGATAACGGGATGCTAAGAAGCACGGACACGGATACGGGACACAGATACGACACGACACGGACACGGCGACACGGCAAATCCAAAAAAATTAGGACACGGACACAGCGAATAATATATATATATATATATATCAGCATTAATAATTTAAAAAAAAAATACTGATATGTTTAGGTTGGAATATATATATATATCACTGATATGTTAGTATATATATATATCAGCATCTTTAGGACACGGACACGGCGAATTGTGGCATCTTTAGGTTAGTATATATATATATCAGCATCTTTAGGGTAGTACAAAACAAAAAATAGAACATATCAGCATTAAAAATTTGAAAAAAAAAAAAAAAAAAATTTCCAGAAAAGTGTGTCCTAGCCGTGTTTAAGCCATGTCGGAGCCGTGTCCGAGCTGCCTGAGATGTGTCCGAGCCGTGTCTGAGCTGTCTGAGCCGTGTCCGTGGCGTGTCCGAGCCATGTCCCAGCCGTGTCCGAAAATAATAAAAAAATAAAAAAATTCCAAACACGTTTTTTGGCGTGTCCGACACGTGTCGGGGCGTGTCCGACGCGTGTCCATGTCCGACACGTGTCGGACACGGATTCTTCGCCCATTTTGGAGTGTCCGTGCTTCCTAGACGGGATGTATGCTAGTGAACGGTAGGAGCCACGGGAGAAGGGAAGTTACCTAGACCCGGTTCGAAAGATGATTCTGGCACGGGAGGTTGAGTGCAATGGCGACGAGAGTAAACTTGCAAAGGTGGAGGGGAACCCCACATGGGTGGATAAGAAGATTCCAGGACAGTGTGATCTTCAAATATAGGAACAGGACGGGCAATAGGAGAGATCTCCTTCTCCAGACCACAAGAGAGAGAATCCTGTACCACAGAATTAGTACTATAAAAGGAACAGTTTCATGAAATGTCACATCAACAGAATGGTACATATGTTTGGCCACATGATCATAACAATGATAGCCCTCGTAGCAGAATACCCCAAGAAAATACACATAATAGATTTATCATTAAGTTTATGACGAGAAGGACTATGGTTATAAACAAAACCAGTATAGCCGAAAACACGAGGTAGAAGGCGAAACAAGGTATAATCAGACTGGAGAATCTGAAGTGGGGCCTTACCACCCAAAACTCGACTGGGAGTATGATTAATCAGAAAAGCAACTGTAAGAACAGCCATATGCCAATAGAATTTAGGCACATGCATACCACTCAAAAGACATCAGACCACAGACATAAGATGACGATTTTTGCGTTCAGCCACGCCATTTTGTTCAGGAGTGTAGGGGTAAGTGAGTTGGTGTAAAATCCCCTTTTTGTTAAGTTCAATCTGGAACTCATTCGAAACATATTCACGCCCATTATCAGAACAAATATTACGGACAACAGTGTTATACTGGGTTTTGATCATTTGAAGGAAATGGGTAAATAAAAGAAGCACTTCAGATTTCTTTTTCAATAAATATACCCAAGTACAACGAGAATAATCATCAATAAATGTCACACAATATCGATGCCCAGAGAAAACTGGGGAAGGCCCCCAAACATCATAGTGGATAACATCAAACCTACTAGGAGCGCGACTCATATGAGAAATATAGCTAGTTCTAGTATGTTTAGAGCTCACAAACTTTATATTGAAACTTGTGGTCCGTACATGCTTTATTTAATGAAGGAAATAACAAACATAGATACTAAAAGTTTACATGCCCCAAACGGGCATGTCATAGACTAAAAGTGCGAAAAGAAACATCATAAGCACTAGAAGTTGGTAGGACAGAAGCTTGAAGACCCGTTCCTGGTGGTTCCCTAGAGTAGTAAAGCCCATCACGCTCATAATCCTTGCCAAAAATCCTCTTCGAACGAAGGTCTTGCAAAAGACAATGATCTAGTAAGAATATAACTGCACATTAGAGGTTTTTTGCAAGCCAACTAACAAATAAAAGGTTAAAGACAAATTTAGGTACATGAAGGGCAAATGAAAGAGTAATATCAGGAGACAGACAAACGTCACCCATACAGTGAATTTAAGATGTAGAGCCATCCGCAAGACACACAAATTGGGTAAATGGTATGACATTGGAAGAAAAAATTGATAACTCACCAGTCATGTGATCATTGGCCCCAAAATCCAGAACCCAAGTAGGCTGCTTGGCCTTAACATGAAATGCAGGAGTACATGTAGCAATAAAGGTGGAAACAATGAAAAATATATATATATATTTTAAACCTTTGGCAAAAAAGGCATTCAAAGGAAAATAATAGTAAAAGAAATATAGTAAATAATTTGGTTCAAGAATCAAATGGGTTCAATTAGGAGCTTTTGCAATTTCTAAACTAATCAAATAGATAAAAGTACTACAACAATTTTAATTGAAGTATATGTACCTTTTTGAAGTCCAATGTAGATCCTAATTGAATGCTCCCAAGTGTTGAAGATTACCACAAAAGTGGCTGCTCAAACAGAAATAGCAATTTTTTTTTTTTTTTTCCTGAACTGGTTTACTGCTAAAACTAGTTCCATTCTGGGCTGGGTCCAAAACTAGGATAACTCTGAACATGTAGCCAAACAGCGCAAATCTGATCTGATGATATGTATATATATATATATATTTACCCTGGACCTTCTTTCCAAAGGAAGAGAAGGCCAAAACTTTAGGCTCGACCCTATGACCTAGCAATGACAACAACAAACAGCAGAATCAACTCCGGCGACGGCCAGCAACTATTCCGGCGATGACCAGCAATTACTTCAGAGATTACTATTCCGGCGATGGCGACGAAAACTAATGATGGCGAGGGCAACGCGATGCGATTCCGATGATGGTTTCTGGCAATGATGTTTGTAGCAGATTCCATCAAGGATTTGCAGCTGTGGTGAAGGTTGGAGACGACAAGAACGAACAAGAAGCTCTTTGACAACGGCAATTGTTGCAGATTCCAGAAGCTGTGGCATATTCTGGCTATGATGTGCAGAGAATATTCTGGTAAGGAAGGTAGTTGATTATTGGCGTGAGGGGCTGTGGATTGCGCTGGTGGGTTTGGGTTTGCTTCATAAGTCTATGGGTTTGGGTCGATGGGTTTGGGTCGGGTCGATGGGTATGGGTTTTGCAATTGTGTCTTGCTGCTAAGGTTTGGTCTTATGATTGCTGGCTTGGTTACAGTGGCTGAGTTGGATCCAATTGGCTTAGGTCTTGCTGTAGATGGTGGTGCAGCTAGGGTTTGGAGGGTGGTGGCTGACAGCTACGATTTGAATAGGTGATGGCTGTTGTTATGGGTGGCAGTAATCAAGGTTTTGGTTGTGGGTAAATACTATGATGGTTGTGATAGATGGCAGCGGCAGTGGTGGCTAGGGTTTGCTTGGATTTTAGGGTTTGTTTGGATTGCAGACGGCGGCGGCAGCTAGGGTTTTGCCTGGGTTGATTGTTGATGAACAGTATGGGTTTGATTGCTGTGAACAGTAGAGTGTGGGTTTGATTACTGTGAACAGTAGAGTGTGGGTTTGATTGTTGTGAACAGTAGAGAAATCTATGGATCTTTGCTCTGATACCAATTGATGCAGCATCAGGTAGGGGCGATTCGAAATCAGAATTCAGAACGAGATTGAGAGAGAAAGGGTAGAAGAATAGAGGGAAGAGAAGGATAAATGAGGAAGAAGAAATCACGATAATCTCACAATTCAAAATCAATAATCATCAAAAGATTTCTTTCACAATGTCTTAACCAACATTATATAAGGATCGAAGAAAAACCCTAATCAAATTATTACCATAAATAGAAATCCTAAAATCAAATAATAATAATAAAAGTCAAAATCCCTAATTCTATCTTTCCTTCCCACGTCTCCAATAATAGACGTGGGCCATATGGACTTCAAGCTCTCAGGCCAGGCCCAGTTCTTCATCACATTCAACCAGTGATTTTTCTTGTTTAATACAGTGGAAGAAAAATGTAATTAGACTTTGTTCTAAATTAAGGTATGAGGTGATAGAAGAAGCATGGTCTTTGCAGTTCTTTCTTCTAAAAAATTAAAACATCTGCTCCAACATCCAGCTGCACCAGTTTTTTGTTTCTCATTGTTCCACTGTTCATCTTCTAGGCAGACAATTTACGAGTGATGCTGCTGGGCATGGTTGATGATCCTCGTGTGGTGCTCATCAAGCTTGCAGATCGTCTTCATAACATGAGAACTATGTACTCTCTAAACTTGTTTTGTATTTCTATTTAGTTGTAAGCCTGTTAAAAATTAATTTCTTTATAAATTAATTTATTATTCCACGTCTTTCTATTATTATATGTCTTATCTTTCATTATGTTTTCACATTTTAATTTTTTTCCATCTCCAATCTTTTGATGTTATCTTGAAAACTTGCTTCCTAGTTATTCAAAGGTCTGAGAAATCTACTAGCAATTGACATGCTTTTTATCTTTAAATGTTTAGTGGCATGGTTGACCATACTAAAACTTACAGGACAATAGCATTAGTTCACAGTGTAGATGATGAATTTCTTTACAGTTATGCTCTGCCCTCATCCAAGGCTCAAGCTGTTGCACAAGAGACGTTAGTTATTTGGTGTTCACTTGCTTCTCGATTGGGTCTGTGGGCTTTAAAAGCTGAACTAGAAGATCTGTGCTTTGCTGTTCTTCAGGTTTGCTCATAATTTTAGCTTTCTCATTTGATGGGAAAATGAAATTATGTTGGAATCAAGATGCATGGTAGACTATAACTACATATATACGCTATATGCAGCCTCAAATGTTTCGCTGGATGCGAGCTGAATTGGCTTCCATGTGGAGCACTAGCAACAGGGCAGGCAATCTGAGAAGAATATCTGCAAAAGCCAGCTTGCTTGCATCATTGGATGAAAAGAACTCAAATTGTCTCTATCAAGGGTCCACGGCAATGGATGATGACAACACATGCATGAAAGTATGATATTGGTTGGAAATTCTTATTCCTCTTTGTTTGATATATTTTTAAGAAATTAGGTGAAAATTTGCTTTTAAATTTACCATGTTCTTAAAAATGAAGCTTCTGTGATGCCAACATTAATGTCCATATATTTTTGGTTTCATTAGTGTCAACCTCAAGGGAGTGGAAGAGTTGGTTAAGAACTACACTTCTAAGGTGGAGGTCTTTAGATCGATTTCCCACTCAAGGCCAGCCTTACAAGATTTTCCCTTGGTTAAAATATGGCTGTGGAAGGGCACCCCTCTAATGACCAAAAAGGGAAAAGAAAAAGGATTTTGATTCATGGTGTTAAGAGGGGGGAAAATATTTGTAGATTATGGCTAAATTTCTCGAGGAACCCTGCTTTAGATGAAATGAGCCCTTTTATTTCAACAAACCTCATTCCTAACTGCTTGGGGCCAACCATATGTATTTGTCGTCTCAAATTTGTTCTTTGTAAAGCTACCTTTTGATGTGTGTGTGTGTGAGAGAGAGAGAGAGAGTCATCAAGATCCAGATAATATAGCCCGTCCTTCTCATGCCCCGAATCAATCATCTTCTTCGTCCTGATGTCCTCAAAAACACATGAAATGGGAGAAAAGGTTATGAAACAATGTAATGCTTTAGTCAATTGACTTGCAGAAAGCAAACTAGAAGGAAAATTGGGGACATAGAGACTGGATGATAAGGACAATGAATTGGTAGGGTGAAGAACACCTTTCCCAAGGACTGGCCTAGAACAATATGGTGTTTAATAGGTGTTAAAGCAGGAAAGAGAGATGATGTACCAGACATGTGCGAGCTAGCTCTGGAGTCAACGACCCAGGACGGAGGAGATTGAGCCACACATGCAATATTACCTGAATTGGCCAAGGTAGCAGTGGTAGTGGATGGGAGAGGTGTTTGTAATGTTTGAATAAACTCACTAAGCTGAGTAGTGAGTGCATCACGAGAACCAGAATCAGAAGCTACATTCCAGATGTAGAGTGAGGCTTCAGTGGCTATGCATTACCATCGGTAATCTGATGCGCATGCTCTGATTTGCCATATTTCGTGAGGTTTGGTGTGGTTTGTACCACCACAATGATCACACTTCCTGTCATCAAATCTACTAGAGTGGCCACCACCACGAAAACCACAATCACCATGGCTACCACGAACTCCACTGCTAGATACTAATGCAAAAGACACTGTAGAAGGTACAGTGGAACTTGACCCCAAAGATGATCTCAATAGTCAAGACTCAAGAGTAAGCATTAGCAGTTGTAGGTAACTTCTCGCTAGCGAGAATCTGATCTTTAAAGCCACGAAGATCTGTGTCTAAACCAGATAGCAATGAAGCACTCATAAACTCCTCCCAGTGATGCTTTTGTTGCTCTAAATAAGTAGTAAATGGCTGTCATTGCATAATTGATCTCACAAATTCTTTAGGGTACTGTAGTATTCAGAAAATGGTTTCCCGGACTTCTTAGTAGCAAAAATCTTCTCATACAACTCATAAACCCGAAAACATTGCTCTGGTGCGAGTACGGCTCCACAAGAGAGATCTGTGTCTAAACCAGATAGCAATGAAGCAATCATAAACTCCTCCCAGTGACGTTTTTGTTGCTCTAAATAAGTAGTAAATGGCTGTCGTTGCATAATTGATCTCACAAATTCTTTACAGTACTGTAGTATTCGGAAAATGGTTTCCCAGACTTCTTAGTAGCAAAAATCTTCTCATGCGACTCATAAACCCGAGAAACATTGCTCTGGTTCGAATACGACTCCACAAGAGAGTCCCAAATGTTCTCGGAAGAGTCACAAAATTCAATTGTACTAGCAATATCAGGTTCCATACCATGCCATAGCTCCAAAACAACAATCATAACATACCGAGTCTTCAAGTTCCTTCTTGTTGGGGGATTTTCAGTCAAGTATTTCAACTTCCTTTTTCCACGTTGAGAAATCTGAACATGAGCCCAAGACAGATAATTAATGCCATTTAATATTTTTGCGAGGTGATCCACTTAGGCGTATCATCATCCTTGAGGGGCTGAAATTTATTTTCAGCCATGGGTAGGATTTAAACCAATAAAGTAAAAAACTAAAATCAATAAATGTAAAAGAGGACAGAATGCAATTATGTTCTTGGGAGTCTGAAGCAGAAACAGAGATTAGATACTTGGATAAAATATTCAAACTAAGAAATTGGGTCTAAATGACAAACCAAGTACAAAACTTGAGAGCTCAAATATCCAGAATATACCAGAAGCAATATCAGATAAAAACAAAAAAAACAAAATTCAGAAGGCCAAAAACTGACTGCCGAACCTCCTTTTACTGACAAACTTGTTCCGAATTCAACATATCGTAACAAATAATAATCGATTTTTTTTTGGTATGTAAATTAATATCTGCACACCATAAGTTTTTCGATCTTGATTGAATGGGAAAACTCATTGCTTTAAATTATTTTCTATTTGCAGGACCTATTGCAGGCTGTTCTTCCGTTTGATCTCTTGCTCGATCGAAGAAAGCGAATTAATTTTCTTCATACTATTGGGTCATATTCAGAGTCTCAACGAAAACCGAAAGTTGTAAGGGATGCTGGAATTGCTTTAGCATCTCTTGTAGTTTGTGAGGAAGCACTCGAGCAGGAGTTACTAATTTCAAATTCGTACGTTTAATTTATCTGTTCATTTTGTGTGTGAAATCAACTGTTATCATTTTGGGCCTCATGTGGTTCCCAATGACTTTGTTCTCTGTTCTATGTTTGCAGTTATGTTCCTGGAATGGAAGTAACCTTATCCAGCCGTCTAAAGAGCTTGTACGGTATTTACAGCAAGGTATAAGTGGAATTTAATACTTGCGTAGCCAATAAAAAATTAGGCATGGACTTTTATCATTGTAATTTAAGTAGAAAGACATCATAAAGCACATATTTAATTAATTTTATGCTGAAAATGTTCTGTAGGAGTAATTATGTTAATTGAATAAATAATTATATTTTAAGTGTGATTTTATTAGAACAATCAAAAGAACAATGTGCAAGGCTTGAAGTGAGGCATACCGTCACATTATATGAAAGCCAGAGAAGAACCACTTCCGATAACCAGAAAGAGTAAATAATGAAAGAGTAAATAATTAAAGAATAAAGCATGAGATTAAACCATCAATCGCAAAGGATGATACTAACTTCTCCATGGTAAAATGTAGCAGTTCAGCCTATATACAGAAATATGACCACTTCTAGCCATGAAGTTGGTTAAGATCAGAAATCTGCAGCCCCAAGGAATCCAACACTTCCAACACAACCATCCTGGCAGACTGAATAGGACACTGAGATAGCCCCTCATACAAATTTTGATTCCTTTTTCCATATTTTCCACACTGCAGCAGTAAAAAGCTGTCTGAAAACTCTGTTTTGGTAGAGTTAAGGCTGAAATGAGTCACAAATCACTGCATCAACTCTTCAAAGCTACAGATCTGCCCTCAGTTCCACTCAAACAAGTCACAAAACGATGTCCACATAACAAAAAAAAAAAAAATGTGGTCTATAGTATCCCCAGCTCTCATACAGTTATGGCTGATGGGGGCCAAGCTGATGCCCCTTTTCCATATATTAGCAAGAGTGGGGACTCTATTTTGCCGCACAAGAAATGAAGTCACACTGGCAGTAGGTCTGCCATTGTACCAATGGATCTTGTGCAAAATTTTCTTAGTGTTCGAGACTCTACAATGCTTCCGAATAGATTTGGAACTCCATCCACCAGTCATCATCATCCTAGCCTTTTCCCAAAAGAATGGGGTTGGCCACATGAATTCTCTCTTGTTTCATTCTGTTCTATTTTATGCCATATCTCCTTTAATATTTAATTATTTGAAGTCCTTTTTAATTACTCTATTGCTTGTTTGTGTTGGTCAGCCTCGTTCTCTCTTACCTTTTATGCGAACTTGTATTCCCTTTCTTACTGGTGCATCCATGGGTCTACGTTCTATATGTCCATACCACCTAAGTCTATTTTTTCTTACATTATCACTAATAGGCGCTATTCCTAATCTCTCCCTCACACTTTGGTTTGTAAATCTATCTTTCTAGTTACTCCTATCATCCACCTCTACATCCTCATTTCAGTTACATCGCCCAACACTTTACCCCAAATAAAATAGTTGGCCTGATGACCGCCATATAAATTTTTAATTTTTTTTTTTTACAACTTTTTTGGTATTTTTTTCTCACACAAGATACCACTAGCTTGTCTCCTTTTGGACCATCCTATTCCAATCCTATTAGTAATATCCTCATCTATTTCTCCATTTTCTTGTATTGTGATCCTGATTATCAAAAATGATGATTTTGAGAAACCTTATGGTCTTGGATTGCCATTGTTATATTGTTATTTTTCAAATCTAAATTTAATTTACTTTCCATATGTTCAGTTTTAGTCTTACTAATTTTTTAAACCTTTTTGTTGCAAATGCATTTCTCCAAGTTTCTAATTTTGGTCCTAATCCTTCCCTAGAGGTTTCTAACAACACTATGTCATGCACCACAATGTAGCGAAAACTAAGTACCAAGTAATGAAGTAGTAGATTCACGACCCCACACATCAAAATGAACAAGCTGCAAAGGAGCTATACTTTCATTAATACTAGTAGGATAAGAAACACGACATTGTTTGGCAAGAACACATGTTTCACAATTTAACACAAGATTCAACATAAGCAAATTGGGGAAGCACATGCTTGAAAACAGGAATAGGTAAATGACTAAGTCTATAATGCCCTTGCATCAACAGATCTTTATTGACATGACTATTCCTAACACTAGATTGATTTTCAATATAATAAGAAGTTGGCATTACATCCAGCAAATACAAAGCCGTTGTCCTCATGTCCGCTTCTAACCGTCTTCCCCATGCCCAACTTCTAAAACAATTCAAGCCTCTTGTAATGTGACTAACAAAGGATTTTATTGGTAAACTTTGGGACATGAAGAACAGAGGATAAGGTATGATTAGGAGAGGCAAAAACAGTGTCCTTCCCCGCAATGGAGGAGAAGGTACCATCAGCCACTCTAACCTTATCCCAACTAGAACATAAACTGTTTGAGAGAAATCAGATGTCATACTAGTTATGTGATCATTGACTCCTAAATCAATGATTCAGGGTGGCCCACTAGATAATGTGGAAACATGATGTATCGAATTAGAGGTACCTATCTGAGCAAAGTTAGAGGTTGGAAGTGGAGGCATTTTGAGCTAGCAAATGTCAAAGAGCATTAACTTCAAGCCCGGACAAAGAGCTTCGCGGCCCTAAGAAGGCATGAACAGTAAAAGTAGTTTCATATGCAACAACATGTGTTGTAGATGACCTAAATGGACCAAGCCTTGGCCTAGCATTTGCATGAATAAGAGTAGAAGCTGGAGTAAGGCGTCTAAGTAGATTCCAGCATGTTTCCCTAGTGTGGCGCGTACACCCACAGTGGTTACACCTCTACTTGCTCTTATCATCTTGCTTCCCTCCTTTTGGAGGGTTGGGTTTGTTCCATTGTTGTGTGGCAAAATCAGACCTTTCAAGCAATGGTACTTCTCGCTCAGGCTTAGTGTATACAGTTGCAACAAACATAGCCTTCATTCGACTCTCCTCAACCTGGATATACGAAAACACCTCTTTAACAAAAGTAGGGGCTGGATACCTACCCAACTCTTGTAGCCTGGCATGCTCGTATTTCAAATGTAGAGCACCCCAAAACTCTAGATTCGATTCCTTTCTACCATAGCCCAAAATGTTTTAACATCATACAGGTATGTAGTCTTGGCAGTGATCTAAATTTACCCGTTTACCATGTAGAGTGTGGTGGTTATATGTAGCAAGAGTTTGGGCTTCTTGCTTGAATCTTGAAATCTCTTGTTGAAGCTTATACAGTTTTGCAAAATTACCAACCGAGGAATATGTAACAACCAAAAATAAATAATAAATAAAAAATAAATAATAAATAAAAATAAAAATTTCGGCATGACCTCTACAGAAAAAGTCCTACTACGACCTGCTTAAATACATATAATATGCAATAGTCTCACTTGGCCTCAAAACTAATCTATCCTGTCCCAACGCACAATGCAATAATATACAACATTCCCAAAATCAACACGGACATACAAAATTTCCCGTTCCTCCATCTCCTCCAAATAAGGAATCACTTTAATTACATTAAGTTAAAATCCATGAAATATATTTATTTACACAAATTCTACCATTACAACACTATACAAGTTACACTTAATTTTTTTATTTATTTATAAAAGGTACATGATCATGTTTCTATACAAAAGACAACAAAATAAGAGTTCTAGTCCAGTCTTAATTTGCGATGGGTTGCCGCCCGTCCCTTCTTTCCCCAAACCTGAAAAATGTTAAAATAATGGGGTGAGCATAAGCTTAGTAGGAGGTGTCTAAGACACACCTCTTATGACCCCGTGAATCCACACAAAGAATAGGCAAAAAGTAGACGGGATCATGTTGTTGAAAAAGAGATATTCGGTTTTAATAAGACCAGATTTTAGGGGATATGATAGGCGTGTAAATATAAATAGTCAATGACTAAGATTAGGAAATTCTGTTAGTGTACAGCCTGTAGTTACAGCTTGTAGTTTCCTGTTACAGCCTGTAATTTCCTTTTTTTAGCTCCTCGTATTTCCTATGTAACTAAAGCATTGTAAACCATTCTTTGTACGGCAATATACAGATTCTTTTCAATCTTGAAATCGCTTATTTGGTATCAGAGTATCTTACCGATTCTTCAGAAAAAAAAAAAAACCTAGCCGTCTCTTTTTTTTTCTCTCTTCCAAACAACCCTAATCACCATGTCTGATGACGTACCTGAGTCCAAGACCAAGACCTTTGAGTCCCAAGTCCAAAACTCTCAGACACACTCGGTCCAGATTACCACAATTCGGCTGAACGATGAAAACTTCCTTCGCTGGTCCCAGTCCGTGTGGACGTACATTCGAGGCAGAGGCAAAATCGGCTACCTGACAGGAGAAAAGAAGGAACCAAAACCTGAAGATCCATCCTACTCGACCTGGGATGAATTCGATGGTGATGACCTGGTTGGTGAATTCTATGGAGGAGGACATCAGTTCTAATTATATGTGTTACCACACAGCAAAAGAACTCTAGGACAATGTCAACCAGATGTATTCAGACCTGGGAAATCAGCCTCAAGTCTATGAACTAACGCTGAAACTCAGAGAGATCCGTCAAGGAGATAACAGTGTTATTGGGCGGGATTGGAGTCTCCATTTGGGCTTTTAAATACATTATTCTTACTTATTTATTCTTTTGGGTCAATCGGCGGGATTGTAGTTCTATGGATTGTCTTTTGGATTTTGTTGATAGCTTAAAGCTATAGGGGCATCCTGAATGGCTTTTGTTTTCTTTGGGCACGGTCCCTTTTTGAGCGTCTTTTAAGAAATCTTACTTATCAATAAATAAATAAATAAATAAAATTAGATTCTAAAAAGGAGAGTAGTGTTGACTTTAAGATATAATCAAATCAAGAGTAAGTGATGAAGAAGAAGAAAAAGAGAAGAAAGCATGAGAGAAAAGGAGAGAGAGATGGGGAAAGAGAAAGAATGAAAGAATACTTTCATCCTTCCACCACATTCTATTTATAATAACAAGTTTCAGAAATTACACATTAGCCCCAACATTATATAAGTAATAACAAATAAGCCCCTAACAACACTCTCCCTCAAGCTGGTGCAAAGATATCTACCATGCCCAGCTTGACTAACATTTTTTGCAAGCAAGTCTTGTTCACACCCTTAGTCAAAACATCTAA